GCCACTAACCACCAAGAAAATGATCTCCCCAAAACGGGAACATCAGAAAAAGAATGAAGAGAACGAACAACTTACAGATCGTTGAACCTGAAGTCATGGCCTGTGAATATCACAGAGATTAAGCAAAAAACCATATGACCTGTGAATACCACACAAAGGACCAACAAAATTTCACAAAAAGGTGTGAGAACTACAGGGCAGTTGCTGAGAGTAGCACTAATGCCATAAATTTTTATCATACCTGTCAGCTGAGAATCTGATCAAAAGCGAGGAATTGTTAAGGAGACAGTAGATCCAAAACTGAGTCACTTGTGCTAAACCCCACCAAGACTTAACACCTAATCTAACTGCAGCTTCAGCTTCTTTCAGAAACGTGACCTTCAGCCAGCCAAACTGGAATTTCCTGGTCAGCACGAGGAGGTAATCTGCTAAGAGACCCTCTCTGTTCCCTTTGGGAGGACAACCTTGCCTAAAACAAGGCATTCTTTACTAATAATTTCCTTTATTCCAGCTCCCTCTCTGCCTTTAAAACCTTTTCCTTTTCTGCAGCTTGATGGAGCTCCTTTCTATTTGCTAGATGGGGTACTCCCCAATTCCTGAGTCCTTGAATAAAGCCACTTTGATCTTCAAATTTACTCAGTTGAATTTTTGTTATTTAACAGGTACCTCTGTGAAAAAGGAAGAGAGATCCACATCACCCATAATGCCTGAACTGAAAAGTAGGAATACAAGCATTTATTTTTATAGAGGTATGGAGACCCCAAAAGAATCAGCTGACAAGAGTTGAAAGTGGTCCCTTCTGGGGAGGGAGATCTAGAAGAGTGGAAGGAACACAATGATTGTTCTTTTCCATCATTAAGCTCATAGTTTTATTTGTCACCTTAAGCAATTTAATACATATAGCCTCGTTAAAAATTGAAGCTTAAAAGGAAAAGACACCAAAAGTTCAAATTGGGGATGATTCTTTTAAAAAGGAACTAGCCGTACCACACCCCAACTACTGCTTAGGAAAAGAGGATGTTTTCTTTAGACTACTGCACTCAAAACAAATCAAACAAAACAACCTAAAAATCTTCCACCCAAATTCTAATAGAGGGTTGAGAGTGTTTCTGGGCTAGAGGAATGGAAGGTAATTAAATTACATATAACACTATCATCTTATGTTAATTGACTTGAAAAGAAACACAGGCTCTGGAGAGATGGAAGGTGTGGCTGAGGATCTGAGGGCAGAAGGAAGAGCTGGGAAGGAGCTCGGTGGGAATGAGTGGATCCATTCTGAGGTGAAGAGTTGGGGGACCCAGAAGTCTGAAAACCCAGAAGACACACTCTTGGGAAACTCCAGTGGCAAGGGATCTGGAGACACAACTGCCTCAGAGAATTGTCAGTTTAGAGCGGCTGCAGAAAGAAAAGTACTCTACTTATTCAGACTTTAAGACCCTGAGAGAGCAGAAGGAAAGTGAATTAACTCAGAAAGGTTAAACCTTAAGGTAATAAGGGAAGCTGGCTGGTGAGGACCTGGAAGAGAACTGCTTACCTATCAGTCTCTACCTGCATGTAGGGCTCCCAGGATACAGGACTTCTATGTTTTCACACTAGGAAGGGTCCTGGGCAAACTGGGATGAGTTGGTCACCTTACTTCCATGGTTCTAGGTGCTCACCAGAAACATTTGGTCCTTTGAGTCTACTCTTTCAGTCAGCCTACCATCCTACAGCTGGCTTCTCTTTTTCCACTTAGCTCGGACCTTGCATTTGGTCTGCAGTCTTGTCCTTTAGCTCCAGTAATGCAGGAAAACCCAGCCCTGGATGAACGCATCCCTGCAACTGGGTCTTGAGTAAAATGGAGTGAATCACACGCTCACTTAGTCATTGTGCGGTCTGCAACCTCACTCTATCAGTAACATCTTGGAGGTCAGTCATCGTCCTACTCACTTGAATAATCCAGACCCATACAACCTTTGTGCCTTCCTTATCAGCATCCAACCCGACTCCTATTTCATAAGTACACAGACAAAATAATGCAAACACCTGCCATGCTCCAGCCACCCAGCCTGCACACTCTTTCATATCTGCGCACATTTTGGTGTCTGTCTTCCTGTGCTCTTGGTTCCATCGCTCCTCCTCTGGGATCTGGTGCTATCCGTTATTTCCTCTCGCTGACTCTACAAGATGCTTTCTTCTCTGCCTATTAACACACTCAATTTTAACATACTATATTCAGCCCCTCCATGACTTGTCATCCTCCTTAAAGCTACCAGACTTTTATTTATTTATTTTTTTTGGTCCCTCTCTTTCACCCAAGATTCTTGGAAGAGCATTCTCCATTCCTTACTATGTTTCTTGTTGCCTCTTCATTTCTTACCTTCAGTAAAACTTCTGCCCCCTCCAGTCTACTGAAACTGTTCTTGCCAGTTACCAGTGACCCACCAGCTGTCCAAGTCGGCACTTCAGTGATCTACTGTGGCTCCTGGATGCACTGTGTCATACTGTGTATGACACGTTAGTATTTCCTGAGACTCTGGAAAACCCTTATCACCTCTCATTCCTCTTAGGTCTTATGGGTTCTTTGTCCTCCACCTACCCCTGCAGCATTCAAGTATTCATGTTATCATAGTTTTTCCTCAACTCACTGTTCTTTTCTCATTCTACAACCTTTCCCCTGCAGGATGGGGGTGGCTGGGGTGGGGAGTGGAGCTCATCTGCTGTATCTCTAGCCCAGCTCTCCCCACACTCTCTTCTTCTTTATATCTAATTACTTAACTGATTAATTATACCTGAATGTCCCATTGGGATTTCAGACTCAACTTGTTCAGAATCAAGTTCATCACCTTCTTTCCCAAATCCTATAAACCTTCTGTCATTGGAGGCAGCAAACCCCTCCCCTAAATCACTTAAACCGGATGCCTGGAAGTCACTCCAGATCCTCCTTCTTTCTCCCTCCTCTCCACTGCCCTAGTTCAAGCCCTCAAATTTATTGCCTAGATAATTACAACAGTCTCCTAACCTGTCTCTCGTCCACCCTTCCCCTCTTCAAAGACACGCTTACCTTGTCATTAGACGATACCTCTAAAAGGCAACTCTGATAATGCTATTCTCCTTTTTAGAACTCTTCAATGGTTTCCCGGTGCCCAAGAGATAAAGTTCATGTCCCTAAGCATGTGATGGAGATTTAGGGCAGGCTGCCCCAAAATATACCACCTTGGGACATCGATTATTTTGAATTAAAGTTACTTAAGCACAGACAATGTAAGAAGGATATTCTAACCCTACTTTGTTTCTCGGAAAGCAGAAAATAAATGTCCCATGTGAAAGGTACCCCCCCCCTTCCCCCCGCACCAGGAGGTAAGGAGACATCCTTATGGCTGGATATAGGGGATTCAGGGCTATAGAACAAACCCTCTTACCTCACCTTGTTGGGTCTTCACTAATTTGCACCAAACCCAAACTTCTTTGTCTTGCCAATGCTTCACAGATTTATTATTTCTTTGTCTAAAAGGTCTTTGAGTCTCATATTTTTATGAGCTCCTGCACATATGAGATTAAATTCGTTTTTCTCCTGCTAATCTGTCCTATGTCAATTTAATTATTAGGTGAGCCAAAGAACCTAGAAGGAAGAAGGAAAAAGTTTCTTCCCCTGCACATGGCACTTGAAGCCCTAAGTCATGTGGCTCCTGCTTGCCTTCAGTGTCCTCTCCAGACCTTCTCTGGTATGGTAATAGTTTATTTCTAGCCCAAGGGTCAGCCAACTTTTTCTATAAAGGGCCAAATAGTAAACATTTTAGATTCTGCAGCCCGTGGAGTCTTTGTTTCAACTATTCAACTCTATCAAAGCAGCCGTGAATAATATGTAAATAAACACGTATGGCTGTATTTGTTCCAATTAAATGCTCTTTAATGAACATTAGAATCTTATATTTTTCATGTGTCATGACATTATTTTTGTACATTTATTCCCAACCATTTAAAAATGTAAAAAGCATTCTATAGAATGGTTGCAGAGAAACAGGCCGTGGATTTGGAGGCTTGTGGGCTCTGACCTCTGCTCCAGCTGTAGGGAACGCCCTGTAATTCTCTAAGTGTTCTAGATGGTTTCTTGGCCCATGCCCTAATTCATGCTGTCTCTCTCTCTCTCTCTGAACAGCTTTTCCCCTTTATGCCTGGCTTTCTCCCATTTAACCATCAGGACTCACTACAGGCTCCACTTTCTTGGGGGGAAGCAAGTCTTTTCTGACCCCAACAGGTACAGGTAAGTGCCTATCTTTTGGGCTCCTATATCACCCTACGCGTATCTTTATTATGATACTTACCCACGTTGTATTACACGTTCTATCATATGTCTGCTCCTGCCATTCCTCCACTACAACACTGTATTTGAGTCATCTTTGTATCCCTAACACTTAGCACAGTGCCTGGCCTCTAATAGGTAATCAAGAACATTTGTTGAACTGCATCAAGAAATCTATAAGATGGTACGCTGCTGATTGATTTTGTCTAAATAGAAGAGGATCCCATGTATCATATATATATAAATGATTATAACACTATTTTGTGCGCTCTCCCCTGCCCCATTCATCCGTATATACTCCTGGAAATATTGCTGAGGTAAAGGGTTGGTGGAGAAGGAGGTACAAGGAAAGCTGGGATCGATGGGAACAGAGCTTTCTTATTCACCGTTACGACCACCACCACTCCAGGCTGTAAAAAGTCTAGGTGACAAACAGCTTCCAAAGAACGTACACATACACCAACACGCAAATGTTGGGCCACATCCAAGCCTCTGAGGTCAGGGCATTAGGCAAGGTGAATTTCAGGAGATTCCTTGAGTGCCCAGTTCCTGGCACAGACTCATTCTCACTGAGACGCCAGAGTAGCAAGCGGAGTCTGGACAGGGGGTGGGAGCAGGTGTGGAAAAGGGAGTGAGGAAAAGGTTGGGGGCGGGGGCTGGGAGGCCAAGAGGGGAGGGGCCCAGCCTGCGATTCCTGATGCCTCCTGCATGTGTTCACCTGGCATCCAGAGCGAATTCCGTCTCCTCCAGCGCATACCATGGTGCTCTTCACGGTGGAGCCCCAGTAGCTGGAACTGGAGCAGGTGGCGTAGTCCACACTGGGCAGGTAAGCCTGCTGCAGGGCCTGGGCCAGCTGCCCGTTGGCTGAACAGGACACACAGCGTTGGAGGTCAGCCCCAAACCCTCTCGGGGGCGGGGGGGGGGGGGGGAGCCTTCCACACCCTCCCAAGCCTTCCCAAGCTCCAGTGAAAGCTGAACTCAGGGCAAGCTCCTTCCAGGGCGTGCCACAGATCCTCTCCCCTCCCCACTTTATATGCAAGCTACAGGCCCCTTCCTTCAGGGCTCATCCTTGATCACTGTTCCCAAGCTCCAAACCACCAACCTCCAATCTCCCTACTGCTGCTTAAAAAAAGGAAAGCACTTTAAAGTCACCGGAATGGTCGTATTTGTCGAGAACTCCCCTGCTTTCACTTCACACTGTAAATCCCACGAAGCAGAACCGGGACCATACACCCTTCTTTTCATTTCCTAAGAGCTTGCTGCAGCTTTCCTTTATCTGGCTCTTTGGACTTTTCAAAGCCTTTGCACATGAATTACTTCTCTGCATCCTTACAACGATGCTTTCATGTTATAGAGATCAGGAGGTCGAACCACTATGATATTAAGTGAACTGAGAGCAGCTGCATTAGAAGCATGTCCCTCTCTCTCTCTCTCTCTCTCTCTCTCTCTCTCTCTCTCTCTCTGTCAGCTCCAGGTTTTCCCAGCAGACTGGCTGCTTGTGGCAAGGACTTGCCTCTCCCCCAGAGCTCAAATACCGCCTCCTGGCTGACAGATGTCTGTGTCAGTCCTAATGTCCCTGCCCTTCTTAACCATCTCTGCTCATACCCCGTCCTACCTTTCTGTGTTGTCTGGATGGCATTGCCTACCAGAACTCTTCCCGCAATGAGAAGAGAGCTAGCTGAGTTCTCTTTTGCCTTCACTCCTCTGGACCTACGGCTACCTCTGGTTTATTCACCCCAACCCACAGCCCGGCGACTTTGGAGGTAGCGTGATGGTGTAACGACCACCAGAGTGGGAGCCAGGATACCCAGGTCCTGGCTCCAGCGAACTAGTTACTAACCAGTCATGTGGTCTTAATTTTCTTGGGCCTCAGTTTCCTCAGGTTATAAGATGAGAGGCTTGTAAAAATACGCCGTGAGGGAAGGTGGTATGTGGTATGTTTTGTTTTGTTTTGTTTCTCAGTTATAAGACTCTATGAATCTCTGACTCGACTGTTCCATGGCCTATTCTTAGCTCGATTTCACGCACCAGTTCTTCGATCTCTGGTTCCTCGTCCCTGACTAGGGCTGAGACCTAGGGCTACAGAAAAATGCTCCCCAGAAGCCCAGCTACCTACTCAAGACCCATGTGGTGGATTTTGCCAACGCAGGCGACTTACTCTTGGTCATGCCCCAGCCTGTGATGTAGCAGGGATTGTTGTTGGCCAGGATGGTTCCCGCCGCTGGCAGGACACCCAGCTGCACATAGTTGTTGAGGGTAACTCTCTGGGCCAGGCGCAGCAGGGCAATGTCATAGCTGTGGGAGGAAATGAGCCTGCTCAGGCCTTCCGTCAAGGTCGGCGCGTGGGGCGGCCCTCACTAAGCCTTTGTGTGCCCATAGAATTCGAAAGGAACAACTCGGAGAAGGGCTCGGGAGGCTGGTTTGCTCGGCCTCCGACTCAGTCAAACACAGCTGGATTGTAGGATATTACTTGTCGAACAGCAGCACCTGCTGGTGAGGTCTTGGTGTTGTGGTCTAGCTGTGGCCTCTGTGGCCTCTGCGACCTGGGTGGTGGTAGTGGGGCTTACGTCTCTCAGTAATGAATGGGGAATCAGAAAGGAGCCGAGTGCTGTGATCTTGGCCGTAGAGAAGAATTCTCAGGGAAGAAAGACCTACCGTGCTGCGTGGGTCTGAAAACTCCGCGGCGATATCCCAGCTCCTTGAACCCGCTCCCCGCCCCCCACGCCCCCCAGCACTGACCACCATTTTAACTACCTCCTTTCCCAAAGCGTACGGCTCAGTCTGGCACGAGTTTTCTCAGATCAGACTCATTTTAAGACATTTACTTTTGCTGACGGAGTCGATTCCCTAAAATGAGTACTAAGTAACAGCAGAAATGGAAACCTTGAACGCTGCAGAGGAGTTTCAGGGGACCCAATCAGGCAAACCAGCCTAGACCAAACAAGTGACAAAGACCTGCCAAAAGTCTCAAGCCTCCCAAAACCTAAATTCTCAGAGTCCTTCCGAACGAACGTGAGGGAAGCCAAGCCCCTGTTGCTGGCCAGTCAGCCCCCTACCTCCAGCCCAAGGCCAGCCCAGCCCTGGCCCTACCCGGCGGCCACATTATTGCTGTTCCAGTAGGGATGCACCACGATCTTCTGCACACTCACACGCTGCTCGGTGCCATCGTTCTGGCTCAGGTTGTGCTCTCCAGCCACCACACGGAAGGTCATTTTGCTGGAGTGAGACAAGAGCAGGAAGCCCTGAGTGATCCGGGGGGCTCTTTTCCATCAGAGAAGACTTGGGAAGCCATCTCACATCTTATCTTTAGAAAAAGAACTCATCGTAACTGGCCCAGGCAGAGGGCAGATGAAAAAGCCTGGAAGACGAGGAAGTAACAAGCCCCCTCGTTCTCGAATTTACTAACCTGTGGCGGTGACAAAAACTACTGGCAACTTCACTGCCCCATTTTTATTTATTTATTTTTTTATTTATTTTTGAGACAGAGAGAGACAGAGCATGAACGGGGAAGGGGCAGAGAGAGAGGGAGACACAGAATCGGAAGCAGGCTCCAGGCTCTGAGCCATCAGCCCAGAGCCCGACGCGGGGCTCGAACTCACGGACCGCGAGATCGTGACCTGAGCTGAAGTGGGACGCTTAACCGACTGAGCCACCCAGGCGCCCCTCACTGCCCCATTTTTAAAGCCCAGCAGCAGAGGCTGAGTATCTCATAACCTGGGAGAGGTGTGGTGAACATAAATGAAATAATGGCTCTCAGCCCACAGAGAGATTTTGAGGGAAGGATAAAGAAATAGTTTAAAGCATGATTCCCTGGGCCAGCAGCACCAGCATAACCCGGAAACTTGTGAGAAATGCGGATTATCAGCCTTCAACCTGAACCCACCAAATCAGAAGCTCTGATTTGTGCCTTCCAGGTGATTCTGATCCATGCTCAAATTTGAGAATAGTTGCTCAAGACACATACGGACAAAAATGATTGCCAGCCAGGCATTGACTAGGCACTTAAATATTTACCTCCTTAATCCTCACAATAACTCAGCAAAGTAGGTATTATGACCCCATTTTAGAAATAAGAGAATGAGAGCTTAGAGAAGCTAAGGAAGTCATCCAAAGGCACAAAGGTAGAAGGCGAAGCGGGATGGGAACCTAAGCTTGCCCGATGCCAAAATCTGTACCTTTCATTATAGTCTACTACCTCCCCACAGGCCCCCCAACACCCCCTTAAAGGCTTGTCCTGAGTGCTCAAAGATACATCTTCCTCCATAAAGGCCAGACTTTTCCCCTTCCAGAGGCTCAGCAAAGCTGGGTTTTGTTTTTCTCACCGGTCCACACAGTGAGCAGCTGTCATCACCCAGTTCTGTCTGATGAGGGTCCCCCCACAGGTGTGATACCATTTGCCCCCAGAGAGGTACTGGAGGGAAATCTAGAAGGGGAGGAGAGAAAGGAGGGAGAGGTTGGCGTTTCTTAAAAGGCTTTGCCCCAAACTGCATATTACACTTCTTTCCATTCCTTCCATCCTTGCAAACATTCTCCAGCTTTGTGGGCCAGAGATGGCAAATGGGTTTCATTTGACCTGTCAGTTTCTGCTGATCGGTCGCTATTGGCTCCTCGGAGTGGTGGTGAGAAGGGGTGTGGAGACGGCCCCGGGATCAGCAGGGAGTGCTCCACCGTTGGGTGATGTTTGCTGTGTACGTGGACGGGGGAGGAAAGGCACACACACAGCGTATTTGACATCCCCACTCGGGGTTGGTGCAAAGGGCCGAGAACCCAGGTCCTTTGACCTGCGTTCCCTCTTGGAAGGAAACGTGGCCATGGAATGGCTCCATCACCTAAGCCCACAGGCTTAGGTCTCCAGAGCTCCCCCTCCAATGACCTCCAGATATGTCCTGCCCCCCCACTTCAGGGAATACTCAGAACCACCACTGGAATATTCATTTTTATCAGTTCATGTCTTCCTCAGCACCTCGTATTCCACCATCGCTCTACTTCTGAAAATTCGGGTGCAAACTTCAGTGAACTGAATTGAATTCCAATTGGAGTGATTCCTCTCAAAGTGTGGTTATTCACCAGTTAATTTGCCAATTTTACGCATTTAGAATTGCTTAACTCAAAGCCTAGCTGCCCTGTGACGAAAGTAGAAACGCTTTAAATAGCCAAATAAGCTACATGCTCTACTTGGGGGTGGGGTGGGGGTGTGCTTGAATGCAGAGGCACACAGTGCAGAGTGATGTGTGTGTGTGTGTGTGTGTGTGTGTGTGTGTGTGTGTGTGCGCGCGCGTGTGTGAGGGTATTGGGACTCGGAGCTGTGGGTCTGGCATGCATGCAGTCTTGCGCGTGCCACTGGGAACATACATGTGGTTTGGGTTTGGGTGCGGGCCTGGGAAAGTAAGTGTGGCTGGTGTTCAGATCCCCTCCCCCAAACCTTTTGTATGCTTTTTCCACCTTAAGCCTGGACCCGTTCAACCTTTTACCTCTAGAATCCAGACAGTTAGAGAACTTGTGGGTAAGGATGTGCACAAACACACATGATGTTGTATACCAGCACACACGCAGCTCTCGTTTTGTTGGAAGTCTGGGGCTGTGAAGGAACACCCACCTGCGAGGGCCAGGAATTCTTCCGGGCCTCAGTCCCTCCAACTACCCGGGCGTTGGTTTCTGGAAAGTCCTGGGTGCTGTGTCCTTTGTGGGGCAGAAGAAAAGTGAGTGATGACTAAGCATGGGGTCAGCTCAGGGTGGGGGGCAGGGTGGCTGTTGTGCTTTGTCTGCGAATTCACAGTTCCTCCCTAGCAAGTGAGGGGCCCAGCTGAGAGTTATGGGAGCCCTTTCGCCAAACAGGGGAGTCTGAGTGGCTTCTGCTTCCCCCCGCCCCCCAGGTGTCCCCAGAACTCTGGCATGCTACGAAGGACCCATCTCACATCACTGGGCTAGGGCCCCAGAGGCTCCCTGTGGTCTCAGCCTTGCTCGGGGTCATCCCAATGGCCCGAGGTGACCTCTCACCCCTCTACCCACACATACGGTGCTTTGGCAGGATTCTCCAGGGGGCAAGGACGGCAGTGCACATCCCATCCAGACACCTGCTGAGGATGTCTTCCTGTCTTTGAGGGGGGTAAGGAAGCCCAGACCCATGAAAGGGGCTTCTCTGTTTCGGGGCTCAAGGCCCTGCCATCCAGAGGGTCCTGCATGGAGAGTGGCCCTCACTGCTCCTACCCTGGATTCCAGGAGGGTAAAGTTTTTGCTAGACCCACAGGGTGTCCCATCTCACCCTGGGATAGAGAGCAGGCCTGGACTTCAGGATAGCTTTTGGCTCTGCTGTCCAAATCCTCCGCCCTATAGAAGTCAGGCCCGAGGACCCACTTACCATAAAGGACCAGGGTGGCGAGCACCAAGAAGCGTAGCATGTTGCCGGCCGAGTAGACCACTGCCCCCTTGCCATGAACCAAGCCCTCTTTGTACTCCTCTTATCAGCAGCTTTGCTGACCGTCTTGCTGCCAGCTGTCAGGGCTGCAGATGGAAGGCTGGGGAAAATCACAGGTGACGTGGAAATACAAATGAAAAGATGTATTTTCAAGTAAACTAATATATCTGTTGTTCAAAGGCAGAACAAGGTCAGGTTAGGGCTGACTTAAGCATCTGCATTCAGTGGAAAGGCATCCAGTGAACTCTTTTTTCAGAAAAAAGAGAGGGAACCAGGGCTGGTCTTTCCATCAGGGTGCTCCCTTCACAGTCTGTCACTGCCTTACTGTCCTCAGTGACACTGTAAGTGCAGAGATCCATTCAGTGCACCAGGAGGTGGAGGCAAGGGGTGGGTGTGGAGGAGGGAAGAGTAGTTAGCAAAAAGAAGAGACCACGACCTCCCCCTGCCCAACGAGGAAGGTGGGCTATGCCTCCAGGACAGAGGTGTAAATGCAGGAGGACTAAACCAAGTAGGGATGGTGGAGAGAATTCTGGTGAATTCTAAGAAACGGGTTTGGGGAGACTCAGACAGAAAGCCAACCAGAGAGCTCCCAGAGAAGGAGACCATGAGGTGGGTTAGAAGGGGGAGCCGCAGGATAGGGAGATGGTCTGAGTGCTGTGAGCATGGAGGGCAGAGGGAGCAGGTGAGGAACAGGCCTGGCCTGTAGGTGATGAAGGGCCCTGACTGTCAAAGTCAGGAGAGGAGAAAGGAGGGAGGGGCAGGGCGCCTTGAGGCGGGCAGAGGACTTCGGGTCGGGAGGCCCAGAGCAGAGGGCCAAGAGCGGGGCTGTGATTGAGGCAAAGAGAAGCCAGGGAGCCTGGAGGGAGGCAGGAGAGTCATCTGGTTCACCTGGGGGTCTTTGTGGCCTAGACACTTTCCAGAATCCAAGGTTCATGCCTGCAGTTGCAAGAGAGGCCTGGGAAAAGCTGTAGGAAGGAGCTCCGTAGGCCATGCCATAGAGTTCGGGGCCATCACATTATGGCTCTCGGGGCACCCGGAGGACCCCCTTTCCAGCCTGACTGCCAGGATTCCAATAAAAGCAGATGGGGAAGAGGCTGAGCTGAGCTGGGCTGGGGAACTGGGCCTCTTTGGCCATCCTCTCCCCACCTCCCTAGTTAAGAAGCCAGCTCTAGGTCCAGGATGAGAAGCCCAAGAGGAGGCCTTTAGGGCCACCTAAACATTACCCCTCAATATCACATACTCCAAAGTAAGCCTCTAAGGGCGCCGTCGATGTCACACTCACCTCCGTACCCTTGGCCTAGGGCCACCCAATCTGTGTTTGCATAAAAACCAAAGTCTTCAGGGACGACACTTAAGGCCCTCGCAACCAGCAACCGGTGCCTAGTTTGCATGCCCCAGCCTCATCTCCACCGCTGGTCACACTCCCATTTTCACCGTTCAGGCCAGACGTAGACAGTAGTTGTGGTTTAAATGTTGAGGCATTGTGTTTCTTCTGGCCAAGCAATTCTAATTCTAGGATTGCAATCCTTTTGAAAGAGACACAGGCACAAAAATAAATGTATGAGGACGCAGGTTATGGTAGAGGTTCTCACCAAGTTGTCGCAGGATTGGGGAAAAAAAAAAACCCAAGTGTTCATCAGCAGGGAAAGGTGAAAGAAATTAGGTGTAACCAAATGATGGGGCACTCTCCAGCTTTTAAAAAGAATGAGTTAGACTTTAATGAACTGACATGAAAAGATGTCCTTGGGATATTAGATGAAGACATCAAATTGCAAATGATACGGTACTGGGTATGTGTGTACTTGTTATTCACAGAAAAAGGGTATGAAAGGGTTTATACCCGGAAGTTGGTACTTCTAGGGAATGAGTCAAGAGGTATGGAGGCATCGTGAGGATCAATTTCACTTCTTAAACTCGTGTTTTTCGGTATCGTTTGGCTCCTCTACACCATTACTTTTGTAATTAACAATAAGAATCTCTCCTGGGGTATTTGGCTATTTTGGGCAATGGCGCCAATATTCTTCAAGTAGGAAATAGAGCCCCAGGAGGGACCAGCCATTTAACGCTACAGTGAGAATCTTCGGGGATCGGGATAGGAGCACAGCATCAAGGTTTTAAGCAAGATGTAAGCAAGGTGTTAAGGTTTTAGGTGAACTCTGAGAATGATCAGAGGGGTGAATTTTAAGGAACAGTGCAGATACTGGGTTAGGGTGAGGCCAGCCCCAGCTAAGGGGAGGCCACAAAGTCTTGTATCACCCCATCAGTGCCCTCTCCCTCTTCTTGACCACCTATCTCCCCTAGTCCTCACTCCCCAATCTGGACCTACTCTCTAGGTGTCGTATGTGGTTTCTTCCTCTCTTCTGCTGCACCTCTCATTCCCTGTCAGTTACTCTTAGCTGACTGCCCCTGGGAGAGATTATACTGCTTTTGCACAGGGGTGAGGAAACTTGGCACTAAACAGGCCACCTTGGTTGGGCGTATATCGTAATATTGGCTGGAGAGCTGTTGAGTGAAGCTATAAGAGCATGAAGGATATGAGATAAATGGCAAACAATCAACACCTGATAAATGTTTGGATCCTTAATGCAACCAAAGATAAAGCAAGGATTAGAGTTGGGATCCCTGGCTCCCTATGGTTTACCCGAATTAGCATGGCCTTCAAAGTCTTCTCACTTGGGTCCCAACCCACTGTTCTGCAGGGCAACTTATCCCATAGGCACAGAAGGCACAGTGCCTAGGACCCACAACACTTTTAGGGCCCACAAAGTTTTCATTTCTTTTAAAATCAGAAGAAATAAAATGAATACCATCAGCCTGGATTATATTCATTTTTATACCAATGCGGTTGTGAAACGTAATTAAAAAAAAATTTTTTTTTTTATGAAGACAAAAGGGCCTAGGTCCCATGAAAGTCACAATGCGGTCCCCATCCTCTAGCTTCTACATCCACCACTCCTTCACCCTGATGTCCCCTTGGTTTGTCAGATCCACTTGTACCTTTGTCTCTCTGTGACTCTTCTGAGTCTCGATGGTTGCTTGTGTGGGATCCCACCTAAGGACCCACCCCTGAGGTCAAAGGTCAAATGTCATCATCTTTGTGAGGCCTTCCCTGACTCCCCTAAATGGAAGGAGTCGTTCTTTCCATCTCACCTGGCGCATCTCTGAACATCTCCAGGCTGGTCCTGACTTGCTTGCGGCTGCTTCGCCAGCTCTAGGGTATGAGCTCCGTGGAGGAGAAGCCGCATCTTACACCTGCTCGTGTCCACATGGGCTTGACACACACGATGTAGGCTAGATTAGGGGCCACAGGGATGTCTGGGGACAAGAGACAGTGATGTGACAGAACTTTTCAGAGGTGATGTGTGTGGCTCTACACAGCCTGAGCCAACTGATTCTCCAACAGATCAGCTAAGGGACACTATGGGGGAGGAGGAACCAGTGGTAAGTTTCCTTTACCAATGCCATAAACCCTTTATTTTCCCTGGGACCTCGTGTCCAATTTTTGCCAGCAAGGAGTTTTTACTTTCCCCACCCCTGGCCACATCCTGGCCACATCCTGGCCACTCTCCACTCTCCCTCTGGCTAGGCTACCCCCAGAATGTTTTCTCCACAGGGTCCTGAAGGCTCTCAGCAACTTAGGAGACCTCCTGCTGTGGGAGTTGTGCAGGGAGAGGCAGCTGCGGTCCCATGGCACCCTCCTGTGGTAATGCCCAAGATGACAGCCTGCTATGGAAAGTCAGAAGCCCTTCTGGAAGGAGTGTGAGTCTTCCTCTAGGCAGCTGGGCTCTCTAGTTCAGACAAGGTGGCCACGTATGGTGGGGTCCAACTTGCTTGGAGAAGAGCTGACATGCATGCTGGGTCTGCTCGACGTGGAAACTTCATGTGGGCACAGCACTCAAGGCCAGTTAAGCAGTCATGCTCAATTCTACACACTGTCCCTACTGCCTCAGACTTCCCAGGGCCTCAGGTTGCCAATACCTTGCTGCATGGCATTGGACAAATTACTTCCCTTATCTGGCCTCGGTTTCACAATATGAAAACGATAGGGCTGGACTATAACGATGGTTTCAAATGGTGCTCACAGACCTTTAGAGGTTCAGGGGCTGCTGGGCATTGCCCTCACCTGCCCTCAACTTCACCCACTGCCACTTGGCTTTTCATCTACAGTATAGATGGGGCACTGAAACAAGGCTTCTAGGACTCAGACCTGAGAATCCCGGGCTCCATGAGCTGGCTTTCAACACGAACATCCCAGGATCCCCAAATATGGCCTGCCTCATGGCTACCTGGCTCCACCGTTCTAGGCTTTACAGAGACCCGCCAGTCAGAAGTGATCGGCATGGAGGGATGAGAGAATGGGAAGGCTGATGGCTAGGTGTCTAGCGTTCCTGTGGTGTGGTGGAAGGAGCGCTGGCTCAGCCGGCATTCCAAATCAAGTCTCAGTCTCCGCTCCCGCCATCCACTAGCTGTGGGACTACAGACAAGCCCCTTTATCTCTCCCTGCCTCTACTTTCTCATCTGTAAAATGGGCAAGGTGGTTCCCCTCCTGTCTTTCTCACAGGGTTACCGTGCAGATGAAGTAAGCTAAAGGATTCTTGTTAGGGTGCTTTCTGTAAATTACTCAGCTCCAATATTCGCAGGGAGACTGCTGCAGACCTCTGTACTATTTCACTAGTTCTGTGGCTGCTCTACATGACCAGGGACCCAGGACGTGGCCTCAGAGGTACTTTTCTTGAACTCAGCATTGCTGCCCTGGGCCCTACCCAGCCTGCCTTCCCTGCTTGGAAGTATGTTTCTAGGACAGAAGGCAAGCTCTATGCCAAGTATCACATGTTCTGAGTGTTTCTTCCATCAATGTGGAGCAAAGAGAATGGGCTCTGTGATGCTGCAAGGAATAGGAAGGTCCTGCCTTGATATCCACTGGGTTTACAAACCCATCTTTATACTCGACATGGAAAACCTGAAAGACTCCACCAAAAAACTGCTAGAACCGATACATGAATTCAGCCAAGTCGCAGGGTATAAAATGAACATACAGAAATCGGCTGCATTTTTATACACCGATAATGAAGCAACGGAAATCAAGCAATCGATCCCATTTACAATTGCACCGAAAACCATAAAATACCTAGGAATAAACCTAACCAAAGAGGTAAAAGATCTATACACTGAAAACTATCTAAAGCTTACAAAAGAAATTGAAGAAGACACAAAGCAATGGAAAAACATTCCATGCTCGTGGACTAAAAGAACAAATATTGTTAAAATGTCGATACTACCCAAAGCAATCTACACATTCAATGCGATCTCTATCAAAAGAACACCAGGATTCTTCACAGAGCTAGAACAAACAATCCTAAAATTTGTATGGAACCAGAAAAGACCCCAAATGGCCAAAGCAATGTTGAAAACAAAACCAAAGCTGGAGGCATCACAATTCTGGACTTCAAGCTGTATCACAAAGCTGTAATCATCGAGACAGTATGGTCCTGGTACAAAGACAGACACATAGATCAATGGAACAGAATAGAGAAGCCAGAAATGGACCCACACATGTATGGCCAACTAATCTTCAACAGAGAAGAACAGCCAATGGAAAAAAGACAGTCTCTTTAGCAAATGGTGTTGGGAAAACTGGACAGTGACATGCAGAAGAATGAATCTGGACCACTGTCTTACACCATACACCAAAATAAATTCAAAAAGGATGCAAGATCTAAATGTAAGACAGGAAACCATCTAAATCCTGGAGGAGAGAACAGGCAACAACCTCTTGGACCTCGGCCACAGCAACTTCTTACTAGACACGTCTCCTGAGGCAAGGGAGACAAAAGCAAAAATGAACTATGGGACCTCATCAAGATAAAAACGTTCTGTAAAGCGAAGGAAGCAATCAACAAAACTGAAAGGCAACCGATGGAATGGGAGAAGATATTTGCAAATGACATGTCGGATAAAGGGTTAGTATCCAAAATCTATAAAGATCTTACCAAACTCAACACCCAAAAATCAAACAATCCAGTGAAAAATGGGCAAAAGACATGAACAGACACACATACACATTTATTCGAGCCTGACGCGGGGCTCGAACTCACAGACCGCGATGTTTACTTATTTTTGAGAGAGAGAGACACACAGAGCACAAGCAGAGAGGGGCAGAGAGAGAAGGAGACAGAATCTGAAGCAGGCTCCAAGCTCTGAGCTGTCAACACAGAGACCGATGCAGGGATGGAACTCACGAACTGGGAGATCATGACCCGAGCTGCAGTTGGATGTGGCTAAGCCAACCAGGTACCCATTAACTTGGATTTAAATTAAAATTTTAAAAAATTATACAAAACTTGTGGAAAAAGTGTTTAATCACCAAGAAATGCACATTAAAACAATAATAAAATACCTTATTGTACTTAAAAAAAAAAAAAAAAAAGAAACCCATCTTTAAGGCCTACTGAGAAGCTGATAATCAGGTTCTCAAACATCAAGTTCCCCAAAGTCCTGTTTCCTGAGAGGCTTGTGGGAACTCCTGTGGGGGTGATGAGGAGCTTAGACGAAGAGCCAGTGCTGGTGGGGGTCACTGGGATTGCAGGAGGCCATGGCTGGCTTTTTGTTCTCAGATGTCAAGCAGGTACCAGATCCTGAGTTCCTGATTAACTGGTCCTAAAAGATGACACAGCAAAGGGTCAGCCTGGGCCTCAGATCTCTAACGGTGCTACTAGGGGGGAATTAGACAGGGGGCAATAAATAAAAAGCAAGGGAAATGCAGCAAGGCCCAAAGAGGACATTTCCAAATTTCTTTCTTTGGATGCCAGATACCCTGATGGGATGCATTCCTGAGTTTCCACCTGTAGCCAGTGTCAATTCCCCACTGCTGGCTTCAGCCTGAGCGGCTGGACTAGAGGAAGGCAGGACCGTGGGGCTAATGCTTTCGAGAACCCCTCCTCTGGACGGCCAGGCTCAGAGCCCTGAGCCGCTGCTGCATACCCCCACTTTCTGCCTTTGATCATATTTTGACTCTTCCCTTCCGTGCAGGCCCAAAATTAGGTTCCTTTTCCCCTAAGCCAAGGCCTAAAGATTGGGGTAGGGTGGGTTATGGAGGCTCACTGGCGGTGCTAGTCTGGGACCAGTATTGTAGAGATGACATTCGGTACCCTGAGGCAGTGTGGTGTACTAGAAAGAACCTGTGCTTTTTTTTTTTTTTTTTTAAACGTTTATTTATTTTTGAGACAGAGAGAGACAGAGCATGAATGGGGGAGGGTCAGAGAGAGAGAGGGAGACACAGAATCTGAAACAGGCTCCAGGCTCTGAGCTGTCAGCACAGAGCCCGACGCGGGGCTCGAACTCACCGACCGCGAGATCATGACCTGAGCCGAAGTCGGCCGCTTAACCGACTGAGCCACCCAGGTGCCCCAGAACCTGTGCTTTTAAGCCAGAAGGATCTTGGTCTGAATCCCAGGCCAGCCATTTACTAGTGATGGGGCTCGGGCCAGTCACACACTTGCTGAGCTCCAGCTGGCTCACCTAGACACGTGGGGGCACCACCCACTTGGGAAGAGGGTCTGCAAGATTACCCACACCCAGTGTATGTACCGGCACACGGAGGCCAGGCAGGAACCATAAATGACTTCACCTTCATCTAGCTGGGTTCGGCCTAAAAATACTGGAGCCACGACAGAGATGGCCATGAACCACAACTCCTAACCCCAGCTCTCTATCAGCCGGAACTAAGACTTCACTGGACGCTACCTGGGCCCTGAGGACCCTGCCTGTGACCGAGCCCACTTTCTCCACACTCCCTCTGTCGTTTTTTTTTTTTTTTTTTAATTTTTTTTTTAACGTTTTATTTATTTTTGAGACACAGAGAGACAGAGCATGAACGGGGGAGGGGCAGACAGAGAGGGAGACACAGAATCGGAAGCAGGCTCCAGGCTCTGAGCCATCAGCCCAGAGCACGACGCAGGGCTCGAACTCACGGACCGCAAAATCGTGACCTGAGCCGAAGTTGGACGCTCAACCGACTGAGCCACCCAGGCGCCCCTCCCTCCGTCGTTTTGATCCACCACACGGCATCTCAGGCACAAGGTGCAGAAAACGAGGAGGGGGTGGGGGGCAGTCGCGGCCTCAAGTTCTAGATTCCAAGCCTCCCGGGGCTGCTGACTCACCTGGGTCAATTCCCACTCCTCATCCTTGGGGACTTGGCTGTTTTGGCCAGTGAAGTGACAGCTCCGCAGGCCCAGAGTGCCGGCACCGGCGTGTAGACACAGCTGCTTCGCGATGTTATGGCGTAGGTCCCTCTGGGTTGTGTACTCAAAGTACTAGGAGTCAAGACAAGGGGAGGCGAAGAGTTTGCCCACTACCTTCCGGGGCCAACCGCCCTAAGATTCCAGCCAGAGATGACCTCTGAGGGAAGAGAGTGACTGAGTGCCAAGACTGCCGCGATCCCCGCGCCACCTTCGGGTCTCTTACCGTATCGAGGCTTTACCGGAATAATCATTGCTTAAGATTTTTTCTTTAAAATCATTAAAAACTGAACTCCATTTTACCTGCGATCTGTGAGATCGTGGGCTTGATATGCTAGTTCCTTGGTTTAAAATTAAAAAAAAAAAAATGCTCGCCAACGTACCACCTCAAATCATCGCGCAGGCCAGCGGTACAGGAAATGGCTTATAATGATTTTGTTTGGATTGCGTATGTTGGCAGCCTGTTCAGTGTCCCTTGCCTTGCTTTGGCTCCGTGTCAGGTGCCTCTTACTTACCAAACACTGAGGGACTGGGGGGGGGGGGGCCCCGGGGGGGGAGGACTGAGGACTAGTTATTGCTCAGGGAAGCTCTGGACACTGGAAAGCACGGGGTACATTCCCAGGATGCCAGGTTACTGTGACATGTCAGTAGATGGTTGTTTTGGGGTCACTGCTGGGTGACAGAATCAGAGCTTCTGGGCAGGGGAGGCTTTGAAGCAGAGCGCGGGGGAGAGCAAGTGCTCAGAAAGTTTCCACGGTTCCTCTCAAACTTCGCTCGGTAGCTGGCACCCTCCAGAAGGCCTTCCTGATTGACAATCGTCCCCTCCCACTCCCTCTCTAGCACCTACCACTGATGCCCAGTGCTCCCCAGATGTCCCTGCTTCATCCTTCAGACCTTGTCTGCCTGCATCATATATTCCCCCTCGGACTGGGCGCTTTCTGAGGGCAGGGGTGGTATCTCCTCCTTTCCCTGGATCTCCCCGACCCCAGTCCTCAGGAAAGGATGATTCTGAGCGGAGAAAGGGGTCTGTGAAAAGAGGAGTTGTTCAAGAAGCAGGCTTCTCTGGGGCCTGCCCGGTAAGGTGCGGCTGCGTACCTGGTTGCCACCAAGGCCGTGGCAGGTGTACATGATGAGGGGTTTCCCCCCATGGTTGTTCTCACCCACATCCAGGCACTGATCGACGCCAAGGTTCCTGATCTGCAGAATGGTGAGGACAGAGGGGAACGAGGATAACACAGTTAGGAATTTTCTGGTGTGCGGTGTGGGGCTCAGCTGGAATAAATTTGCAGGGCTGGATTTCCCCTCTGTGATTTTCCTCCTCTGCTCATCAACCCAGATGCCAGGAGCTCATAGCGAAGTGAGGGGCTTCGCCTAAAGGCTGGGCACAGGCAGGCTGGGCAAGCTCCCGGGCTGCCAGGTCTCTTGGGAGAAGCCCCTCAGCATGTGTGAATTTCCTTATGAGCAATGGTTCTCAAAGTGGGATCCCCAGACTGTCAGTGCCACCTGAGGACTTGTTAGAAACGGAATCTCTCAGGCCCCATTCCAGTCCTACTGAATCAGCATTCTGGGGGGGGCGGGGCGGGGGGACAGAGGGAGAGAGAGAGAGACCGAGGGAGAGAATCCCAAACAGGCTTCATGCTCAGCGTGGAGCCCGACGTGGGGCTCGATCCCACAACCCTGGGATCACAGCATGAGCCAAAATCAAAAGTTGGATGCTCAACTGACTAAGCCACACAGATGTCCCAGCAATCTGTGTTGTAACATGCCTTCCAGGTGATTCTGATGCAGGTGAATGTTTGAGAACCACTGCTTATGGGCTGTTTCCCCCTTGCAAGGTTTGAGCTATCTCTAGAAGCCCCAAAGTGGCCTTCCAGTACTCCTTTGGATAAAGGAGTGTAGAGAGTAAAAATCAATTCTTGTTTGCCATCCGTCTGTGGGGTAAGTGGTCTCGGACCACTCCCCGGGCTTCTGTGATGATGGGTGGGCAAGCTGGTTTTTAAGACTTACAGCTCCGTAGAAGGTGGGCTTCAGGTCGGGAACAAACATCTCTGGGTAGATGTTGTGCAGGAACCACGAAAAGTTGCGACAATGTAGTCGTTCCTTCAGCTGCAGTCGTTCCGAAATGTCACCGAAGGATTTCTGTCAACCGAGCCAGCCCCCAAAGGGTGAGTACCACCAGCCTTGACCTTCTTATATGGTTGAAGTAGGCAAGAGTTTCTGGGGCCACTTTCTCCCAGAATGGGTCTCCTGCTCATCCCTGCTCAGATCCTGTTGGGGCTACTGGCTTAGCCCCACATCTAAACCCAAGCTCCCTGTCTTGGCTTTGGGATGCCCACCCATAGCTCCCCTCCTCCTGCATCTCCTGACTTTCCTATCAGTTTCCTCCCAGACCTCAATTCCGAGCCTCTCCGAGCAAAGCCCTTCTTAAAATGCCAAGACTCTCTAGGCGGGACCAACAAAAGCTCCTCCCATTCACTAGCCTTCAAAATCTGGCCTCTCTGGGCTCTAGCTCACAGGGTCTGAGGGGTAAAGGGAGGCACCAGATGGTAGCGATGGGTGGGCCTCCACCACTCAGCCCTTGACTATGGTCTGGGATTCTGCACTTCTCTTCGCTCAAACACGTCCCGAGCACCATTTCCTCTCACCTCTTGGGCCATCTTTGCTGCCTGCAGATTTCTCCGATAGAAGATCTCCTTGTAGCTATCCATCCAGACCTCAGCCAGGCGCACTTGGTTGCGAGCAATGACACTGATGCCCTTGGGGAAGGTGTGAGGGCTCTTGGTGCGGAACACGTGGCCTACCACAGAGCAGGGGATGATCTCCATTTGGCCCCCACACTGCCACACCTGCCACAAGAGGACACCAGATAGGGCCTTCAGGGGAGTAGTGGGTCACTGTCCCCTCCCCCAAGTAGCTCTGTTCTGTTCCCAGGGTACTAGGGTCCCAGGTCTAAGAACTCAGGGCAATGTTGCTCTCTCTTCCAAGGGGGGCAAAAAAAAGGACATTGACCAGGATTCTTCCTAGGCCGTGACTATGCAATTTCTAGCTCTAGTGTTAGTTCAACTCCGATTTAAGCAAATGGAGATTTGTGGGGTCCTGAGGGTTGTCAGGGCCCACTGTAGAGAAAGGACAGTCGCCTGACTTTGTGTCTGAATACCTCCTCTAAGCTCTAGGCACTTGGCGTGTTGACCTGGGAATGCTGAGTTTATCCGCTCACCCAGGCGTTACTGAAAACTCAAGCTCCCTCAAACCAAGAGGCTTGTGACCCCATCAGAGCCCTGGCGCATCAATCATAGCAAGGGTAGTCAACTCCCGGGTGCGCTGTGGTAGTCGCCCGGACTTCTAGCACATTAGCTGCCTAGGGAAGAGACTGAACAGAGATCTGAGGCTCATGGATGAACCTGCAATCAGAATCTTCTGATTCTGGTGACTGATCTGGCGACCCTTCTCTATGCCAGTGGGCTGGTTTAAGACATCCCTCCCACCCGTGTCCTCTCTTTCTTAGGTTTTAGATTAGTAAGCATGTTGTTATTCGTTTTAGTATAGCAGCGGCAGAGCTCCATGACCACAGTCACAGTCACACAGGCATCAATGATGTGATTAATCTGTGCAGGCACGGCGAGAGGTGACTTCATGAACGAGCTCATCTACTTGCTAATTACCTCTCCCCCGGTGCGGGGATCTGTGTGGATTTCACGGAGAGGGAATTCTTTCTTCCTAACCTAGTCCTGAGTTGCCTTATTCCTGGAATCCCTCAGAGTTCTGGGGTCCATGAGAGTTTGGGCCGTCACCTTCAGTAACACAGAGCTTTCTGAGCAGAGGGTAGGAAACTTCCAAGGCTACCAGGGCTTGTGCCCTCTAACTTGGAAAGGGAAACCCGACTTTTCCTGAGAAAGGACAGCGACTGCTGACTGCCCTGTTCCACCTTCATGCTCCCACTTTTCCCACAGACCTCACAAAAGATGTCTCCAGTCCCCAGGTGTCCAGGTCCTTTACCACTAGTATCCCTTCTCTCTGAGGAGGTCTGCCCAGTAATTTGGTCCACGTTGTCCAATCTGATTGCCACGGACGGGGGTGGGGGAACAGAGGAAAGGGGACAGACACCAGGACAGGAAACAGCCACCCTTCTAAGTCCACCTCCAGATGTGATATCCCCGAGGCTGCCGCTGCCTGAGAGACAGGGCCTCAGGCTGTCCCCCCGGGACACCGTGGCTCCCCCATGAAGCCCTCTTCACTCTCACCCGGAAGGACATTTCCACGTTCTCCCCTCCCCAGATCTCCATCTGATTATCATAGGTACCGATGTGCTCAAAGTAGGACTTGGAGATGGAGAAGAGGCCGCCAGCAAACGTCGGGGATCTGGGGAGACAGAGGGAGAAGCATCTTTTGGCAGGGACGACGCGTAGAAGCCTGGTGCGGAAAGCTGAGGACCCAGTGTTAGCTAAAGCCCGGCCACTCCCTGCCTCCTTTCTTCCTTCCTGGGATATGCAGCCCCTCTTCCATGGACTCATTCCTTCAGCAAATATTTACAGAGCTCTGTTGTGTTCTTTCCACCTTCTGGGACCAGGTCAAGGAGAGATGTGATTATCATCACTCCTTCTGAAAGGCACTGATGCGTTCGTTCAAGGTAGGATCTATTAAGCACCAGCCACCAGGGCCCATGTGCACGTTAGTCACGCAGCCTAGAAAGCTCTCACTGTCTGAGAGCTCAGTCTAGAAGCAGACGGCAGAAGCACCATTGTCTGCTTTGGGGCAGCAAAGTTCCTAGAGCACAGTAGTAACTCCGTTATCAGAAGCTGGGTGAAATGGTTTTTGGAAATAGGATTCAAACCACGAACGAACGAATATGACCTGGATGGACCCCCTTCTGTTTCAGAATCCCCAGTCCTTTCTAGGGATTAGAAAGGCGTGTTAGTAGGGCCTAGTCCTTCCGCACCAGAAATTTTAGCTTTCAGGAAAGCTGCCAGCTGCTTTGAACAAAGGAAACCGGTAACAGGTGCTCCTGGAAACAGAGTAGGAAGTGAGGTGAAATTAAGCTCAATTTGGACTAACGGGAGCATTTGGAGGTTCCAAGGAGCTTCTGGCTTTCAGACAAAGGCAGAGAGGTACAGATCCACTGTAGGGGAAATTGGTAGAAACGTCCCATTTCTAGAATTCAGATACCACGTTGCCATAAGACAGGCGGGGCCAAGAGTTGAAGGCAGGGTCGGAGCCTGAGGAAGACAAGGGCAGGAGTCTATATATAATCACTAGCTGTTGGCATCTGCACCCTGGCCAGCCTGGCTTGGATAGGGCTTTGCTGCCCTCAGTGGGCGGCTCCATGTGCTACAATCAAGCATAAAGATCCTAAAACCTTCTCTATCCACCTAGAACCTATCAAGGTGCTTTCTATGCAGCAGGGGCTCAGTCAGTGCTCACTGGACTGATTGGTCAAGGAGCCTGACCTTAGTGTTACCCTATGGATGCTCTCGCCACCCTGAAGTAGGAGTTGGCTACCAGAGCCACTTTCTGGAAGGACTTTCAATCAGGAGTCCTGCTCAGGTGGGCCTTCTGTCACTGCTTCTGACCTCTCCCAGGCATCCTAAGCCATCCCAAGTAAGGCCTGGAAAGCCTCAGAAAGCCCTGGGACTCAGGTGAGCACTTCGGAGCTAACCTACTTCTTCTTGAGGGTCTCCCTCAATTTATTTATTAAAATAAAATAAACTTGTGGTCTCTAGCAACACCAACCGGCAATCCGGAGAGGGAAGGGCAGGAGGTGAATGAGGGGCAGACCTAGCTGGGCATTAAACAGAGGGTAAACTTTTAAGCATCCACCCTATAGCTCAGGGGTGGGCAAACTATGGTCTATGGGCCAGAGCTGGCCTGGCTTCACAAGGCTCTGGGCAAAGAAAGGTTTCTACCTTTTTAAATGGCTGTTAAACGAAAGCAAACGAACAACAAGAAAAAAACCCCAAACCAACAGAGAGTAACGTGCAACAGACTGCATGCAGCTGGAAGGTCCTAAACTATACGCTATCTGGCCCTTTACCAAGAAAGTTCAGGGCGACTGTACCCAACTGCAGAACACTTGTCCATTTTCTTTTAATACGTTTTCAGTCTTTTCAAAGGTGGTGACCTACAAGGGCTATTCAACAGTGACCTCTACCCACCATCTCTCAGCACCTCTGCAGGCGCCAGTCACAGCCTTCCACGTGTGGGGAGGAATAAACAGAGAACCTACAGAAAGCCTTCGGTCAGCGCCTGGCACACACTAAGTGGTGAGGAAGAGCAAGCAGCTACGGCGTGAGGCAGCGCGCGGTATTGCAGTTAGCAGCATGGGCTTCAGGTCAGGCTGGCCACGATGGCTTTCCTATTCCACCAACTGCTAGCTGCCTAATCTGAGGCTGATTGCTCATCACTAGGAGGCTGTACAGCAGCCCGTACCCACCTCAGAGGGGGTGAGGATTAAGGAAAATATGTCAAGTGCTTCCTAGAGTGCCTGATAAATGTGGACGTAAGACGGTCCAGGTCCCCCGGGGCCGGCGTGGGGCTAAGCAGGCCATGGTCCTTACTTGATGGGGTAGGTCTCATCTTTGCGCCTCTGCTTCTCATGTGCGGGCAGAGCCTCCCAGCCAAAGGTCAGACTCCAGTCAAAGTTGCCACGGCTGTGGACCCTGCCCCTCGGGACGGGCTTGGAGAACTCGAAAGTGTTCAGGTCGATGGTGACGATGTCTGGGCTCACCACCACCGTCTCGTCCTCAGCAATGCGAGCCAGGAGGGGCTCCAGCCAGCCATGGAAGCACTCGCCTGCAAGCCAGGACCGGGAGACAGCAGTCAGGGTCGCACCCACAGCCAAGCCCAGGCCCCACGCCCGCAGGGAGACTCGGGAGGACGAGAGAACCTTCCACACGCTCCCTAGTGTTAGAGAAACGTAGGCAAGCTCCACAGCTATAGGAAGCAGAGAGAGGTCTCCCGAGACCCTCCTCTCCGGCCCCCGCCCCCAACCAAAAGGCGGAGGTAACTCTGAAGAGAAGGATGGAGGGCTGGCGGGGAGTAACATGGTCAACTCAAACGATCCAAAGCACAGGGAAGGCCCCAGATGGGTGACTTCAGGGTTTCTAACTATCCACTGTGTGGATTTCAGAAGGGGGTGTCTCCTGTCCCAGAGGGACCACACCCCAGGCTCCAGCTCCACTTGTGGAATAATAATCCCTTTCACTTGTCTGGCCCTTTGAGATCTTCAGGGAACTGCATAGATTACTTTATTTGGAGTAGTAAATCTGTTGGTGAGTATGGTCGACACCCTCCTTCCCACTTTACAGATCAGGAAACTGAGGCGGTTAGTGACAGAGTCAGAAGGCAAACCCAGGTGTCCTGACTCCCAGCCTAGAGCTTTCCCTAATACATATCACCACTTCTAGGGAACAATTTCTTTCCAGACAATGGCGGGGAGGTGTTTGGGTTTGGGGCAATGGTGGGGGGGGACCTTTTTGTCCCCATGTGGCCCTGCGGGAAAGCTCCACACAAACCGCTTCCCAGGGGTGATGGGAGGCCTGAGGGGCTGAGCTCAGAATGAGGTACAGAGCAAGCAAGGGAGGGAGAGAGGAGTCTGGGGCTCCAGAGCACAATGCCAGCAATTGTGGGGTCACCGTTGTTTTAAGGCCATGGGTGCCTGCTGGTTAAACATCCTTGGGATTGGGACGAGAAGAGGGCACGAGAAGCTGAAGTGAATCCCAAGCCACCTCCAGTCCCAGAACGGCAGGGGCCTCGGGGATGCCCCGGCCCTGGCTCCTCAGTCCACCAGGGGGCGGGGGAGGGGAGCAGACACTCCCCCACCCCCACCCCCTACCAGGTCCCCCCATACTCACAGTGGGCGTCCAGGAAGGTGAGCACCTCCGCCTGCGCCACGCTGGCGCCCAGCAGTCGGGCAGTGATCAAGCCCTTCCGCTCCTCCTGCCGCACCACCCTCACGATCTGCAGCTTCTTTACGTACTGCTCCAGTTGTTCCTTTAAGTACTCTGGAAGGGACAGGGGCATCGGTGCCAGCTCACTGCCGTGTGGCAAACCTAACCCCCCTGTGAGCGCCAAGCCGGGCGCTTTCAGGCCCCCAGCAGGCCTGAACCCCTACCGACCTAAGCAATTCCACGGGCGCCGAGGATGGGAGGGGGTGGAAGGAGGAAGTCCCGTGTGTGGCCAAGCAAACCCTGCCACCCCGAGCCCACCGCGCGAGGAGACTGGCTATGCCGTGCCAATCCTGTGCCTGTTGACCTAGGAACCTTCCCTAACCTCCGAGCCCGGGCCTCCGAGCTGTGTTTCTTTGGTCTCAAATCAAGTTTAAACTTCCGACAGAGGCTCCCAGCTGCCCCTTGGTCTCTGCATCCTCTGGGTCACCATGTCTGGGAACCGTGATTCCGGCCTCCTTTCCACACCTGGAGGTTGTGGCAGTCATGTCTCGGTATCTAGGACTCCCCGTCTCCCAGGCTCCTCTGAGCGAGCCGACAGGTAGAGCACACACCAATGTCGATTTCTGGCTTGCTGGATCAGCAGCCAGAATCGTACTCGAATCCTCTCTATTTCCTCCTCTGCGTGGAGGAATCATTAAGAAGATGAAAAGACACTGAGCCGCTTTTCAATCAAATTTAAAACCAGGTACCAAGGGCCGGCCCTGTGCTGGGCACAACGGTGAGCCTGTTGCCCAGGGAAGTGGCGATTACAGGGCAGGTAATCAGTGACCTGCCAGAGCAGTGCAGGGCTGGGGGTAGCCTGCAGCCGATGCAATCATCCTGGATTTGGGGAGAGGTGGGGAAGGCTCTCTGAAGGGAGGGAGGGACGGCTCTGCTGAGATCTCCAGTTCCTTCTGAGTGCGGGCTTACTTCACAACCCTGTTATCCATTCTGAAATCCTCAGGGCTTTAAAAATAGCTCTATTCTGAAACAATCCATCCTGAAACCTATTCCAGATCCTCCTTATGTCTTATTAACTGCTATACTGCAGTGGCCTACAGTTTCAGAAGAGGAGGTTGAAGGCAGATGTGACAGATGAGTGTGTCCTTTCTGTTTTGGGCTGTGGGATCAGCCCAGGGCTTAGGCCTTGCTTTACCTGCAGTGTTATTATACAAATTGTGGGGCCCCAAATCAATTTTGGGGGTGTGTGATTGATATCTCTCTCTCTCTCTCTCACACACACACACACGCTATGCCCAAATACCTGAGCGCCTACTATGTGCCAGTCATTGAACCAGGTGCTTGCACGTTGACTTTCTTAATCTTTTCTGCGAAGATTAAAATGTTCTGAAATATCGAGTACTGTCCCTGATGTTTATAAGTCAAAATTAGCCTCACTCGGCAGCTTGAGTCTAGCACTCACTCAGCAAACACATGCTAACACACTGCCCAGGTGTCAGACGTTATCCAGGGCAGAGTCGGGCCTGGTCCGGCTCTTGCCCTCAAGGGGCTCCTAGACTCATCATCTAACCATAGCCCCAAGGGTCGGCTCTAACAGGGAGGAGGAGGGAGGAACCCCAACCAGGAGCCTCACCTTCTCAGCATGGCTGATGTTTCCCCTTAGGGCTTAACTACGCTCAGAGGAAGTTCATGGTGGTGGAGATAACCCAAGGACAAAACATCACAGGAAGTGGGTTTTGTGGTAAGAGACTGCAAAGTGCTGAGCTGTGAACCCCACGGGGTGCTGAGCTCTACAAAGCCCTTCTCCCACGCCTTCCTTCCAGTCTCAGGTGGTTAGGCTGGACCTGGGGAGTCTGAGCATCATCCTCAGGCCCTTCTAGGGGTGGGAGACAACTCCCCTCCTTCCTGTCATACCCTTGGGCCCACTGGACACATGCCCCAGAGATGAGTATAGCAGAGCTGAAGGTGGAGACACAGCTGAGCCCATCCATACTCTCTTATGTCCCCTAGATGTTATCCTCCTAATTCAGGTTCAAAACCCCACCACCCCAACCCAGCTCCGTTCCTCATGGCTGGAGTCTATGAGACCCCTGTGACCTCTAACACACCTGCCTGACTCAGTCCCATGGTTTGAAATACCATCTCTCTGCAGATGGCTCCTAGGTCTTTTTCTCTCGGCCCTGCCATCTTCACTTGCATGTCTAATGGAACTACAAACCTAACACGCCCAAAATGAAACTCCAGATTTCCTCCCCTCTCTAGTCTCCCCATGTCAGCCTGTGGTAGCGGCATCTCTCCAGCTGCTTTAACCTAGGAGTCATGCTGGACTCTTCCCTCTTCTCACCCACCACAATCAGTGCATCAGCCAGTGCTGCCAGTTCGTTCTCTCCACCCCCACGGCCACCCCAGCAATGATGTCTTAGCTGGCCTCCTGGCCTCTACTCTACACCACTCTTTCCAGCCATTCTTGACATAACAGCCGCAGTGAGCAGCAGAGTTATCTCTTCAAACTATAAATCAGATCATCGCACTGCTGTGGCTTAAAATTGCACTTAAAGGGGTGCCTGGCTGGCTCAGTTGGTGAAGTGTGCAACTCCTGATCTTGGGGTTGTGAGTTTGAGCCCCATGTTGGGTGTAGTGCTTACTTAAGAAAAAAAAAATGCACTTAAAAACAAATCTGAACAGTATGGGGGCTCCTCAAAAAATTAAACACAGAATTACTCAAGATCTAGCAAAGGGTGGATGAATCAATAAACAAATGTGGTATATACAAGCAAGGAAACATTCAGCCTTTAAAAGGAAGGAAATTCTGCCATAATCAATTGAGATTTACCCCAGGGATGCAAGGATGGTTCAATATATGCAAGTCAATCAACAAGATACACCACATTAACAAAAAGATGGTGAAAAATCATACAGTCATCTCAATAGATTCAGAAAAAACATTTGACAACATTTAATATCTACTCATGATAAAAATTCTCACCATTAAGTCAGTAGAGAGGGAATATACCCCAACACGATAAAGACAATACATGACAAACAGACAGCTGACATTACACTCAATGATGAAAAGCTAAAAGCTTTTCCCCTAAGATCAGGAATAAGACAAGGGCACTCTCACCACTTTTATTGCACACAGTACTGGGAATCCTAGCTGCAGCAATTAGACAAGAAAAAGAAATACAAGACATCTAGATTGGTAAGGAAGAAATAAATCTGTCACTGTTTGCAGACACGATATTGCATATAGAAAACCCTAAAGACTTCACCAAACATCTATCAGAACTGATAAGGGAATTCAGTAAAATTGTGGCACACAAAATCAACAAACAGAAATCTGTTCTGTTTCTATACACTAATAATGAAATAGCAGAAAGGAAAATCGTGAAGACAACCCCATTTAACACTGCATCAAAAAGAACAAAATACCTAGGAATAAATTTAACAAAAGAGGTGAAAGACGTGTATTCTGGAAACCATCAGACATTGTTGAAAGAAATCAAAGATGACACAAATAAATGGAAAGATCTACCATGCTTATGGGTTGGAAGAACTAATATTGTTAAAATGTCCCTACTACCCAATGCAATCTTCATTAAAATACCAAAAGCGTTTTTTTCACAGAACTAGGACATATAATTCTAAAATCTGCGTGGAACCACAAAAGATCTCAAATAGCCAAACCAATATTGAAAAGAATAACAAAGATAGAGGTACCACAATTCTAGATTTCAAACTATACTGCAAGCGATCATGTTCAAAGCATAAAAACAGACGCATAGATCAATGAAACTGAACACAGAGCCCAGAAATAAACCCATGCTTATATGGTAAGTCTATGACAAAGGAGGCAAAAATACACAGTGCAAATAAAATAGTCTCTTCAATAAATGGTGTTGGGAAAGCTGGACAGCTACATGCAAGAGAATGAAACTGGACCGCTTTCTTACACGGTACACAAAAATAAAATCAAAATGGATTAAAGACCCAAATGTGAGACCTGAAACTATAAAACTCCTAAAAAAAAGACACAGTAATCTTTTGGACACCAACTTTAGCAATATTTTTCTGGATATGTCTCCCCAGGCAAGGGGAACAAAAGCAAAAATAAACAAGTGGGGCTACATGAAACTACAAAGCTTTTGCACAGAGAAGGAAACCATCAACAAAATGAAAAGGCAACCCACTGAAAGGGAGGAGATATTTGCAAATGATATATCCAATAAGGAGCTAATATCCAAAATATATAAAGAACTCCTATACCTCAACACCAAAAACCCAAATAATCTGATTGATTAAAAAGTGGGCAGAGGACCTGAATAGACATTTTTTCCAAAGACAGATGGCCAACAGACATATGAAAAGACACTTAACATCGCTACTCATCAGGGAAATGCAAATCAAAACCACAATGAGATATCACCTCACACCAGTCAAAATGGCTAGGATTAGAAGACAAGAAGTAAGTGTTAGTGAGGATGTGGAGAAAAGGGAGCCCTTAAACACTGTTGGTGGGAATGTGCACTGGTGTAGCCACTATGGAAAACAGTCTGGAGATTCTTCAAAGAACTAAAAATACAAGTACCAAATAATCCATTAATTCTACTTCTGGGTATTTACTTGAGGAAAACAAAAACACGAATGCACCATTATTTGTGGCATTATTTACAATAGCCAACATATATATGGAAGAAACCTAAATGTCCACTGAATGATGAATGGATAAAGATGTGATATATATACACAATGGAATGTTGCTCAGCCATAAACAATCATGAAATCTTGCCATTCGTGATAACCCAGACGGACCTAGAGGGTATCATGCGAAGTGAAATAAGTCAGTAATAGAATGCTAAGTGAAACACTGTCTGATTTCACTCTTGGGGAATCTCAAAATCAAAACAAACAAACAAACAAACAAAACAACAGTAACAAAAAAGAGAAAGACTCATAGACACAGAGAACAAACTAGCGATTGCCAAGGGGAGAGGGGTGGAGGAACAGGTGAATAGGTCAAGAGGATTAAGAGGTATAAACTTTCAGTTATAAAACAAATAAGTCACAGAGATGAAATACAGCATAAGGAATATAGTCAATAATATTGTAATAAA